TTAGCCTAACAGTCATGTTTTTGGTCTGTGGGAGGAAACTGGAGCACTGCAGTTGCACAACATATCGTTTGAGCATCGGTTCCATCACAGGTCCTGCAATGTAGGAGGCAAATTAAATCAACTTATCTAGGGATTAAACCACTCATGTTCCTCGTTTTTGTCAAGATCCTTGTCGAGGATCTTGACAAAAATGAGGATCATGAGCAAAATTCACAAAGAACTGGAGGAAAAGAGGTGAAATATGATTAGCATGATGCTAATATTAAAGCGTGACAGACAGAGGCAACACGTTAGGTGGTAAAAATACTATTTAAGTTTGTACATGATAGAAGGAAATGCACTCAAGTCCCGGCACAATAAAAGCAGCAACAAAAGAGAACAAGAACACCTCTCAAATACAGCCAAAACATTTTTGTAACATGAAGAAAAAAATGGTCAGATCCGTGCAGGTTCATCATCATCAACAAGATGGCAGCAGGACTTAAAGTGCCTGTGACAGGATTTTTTTCAAAATAAATATAAAGGCATTATTGGAAATATAATATTAATAACATATTGCAAAATAATCTCCAGCTGCTGACATGAACAGTTTTTGAGATATTTGCATTTGAAGTAACAGGAAGTGATGTCAAAGGGGAATGTCTGCATGGATTAGAGCATTGATAAAACGGCTAATGGTGCGTTCACACCGAACGCGATTTCAGCTTCAAAATCGCAGCCAACGCTGAAGTTTGAAGCTTGTGCACTTTGAGGTCAGACGCAGGWYAGYTGTTGAAGCGCCGCACGGCGACAGCCGCCCCGCCCCTCCCTCCTCTGTCGGGCTCCGTTTAATGTCGGACGAGGAAGTGGCTTTGCTTTAATTTACAGACAGCCAGAACATGTCACGTTCATCAGATAATTAATTCATAATTAATTCACCAGATAATTCAGAGAAGAGGCTCACAGCTGCTTTCAGGACTATTTTTTTCAGTCTGATGAGTCGCTGTCACGCATTGCTGCGGATCAGGACACGACTGCAGCACTCATTTCAGCTAAAGAGCAGGAGCTCCGTCTGTTTCAGGTTAGTGGACCTCATTCAGTAAACTGTCCCGTTGGGAAATATGTCGCTACGTCACACAGTGGAGTCTCTCTGATTGGTTGACGCTGCGCGTCGAGCTGCAAAAGTTCAGATTTTCTAACTTCAGCGATTTGGACGATTTGGACGATCTGAGCGTTCGACGCTCAGATCGTCCAAATCGTTCAAATCGCGCTGCTCTAATCGCGCTTGAGGCGCCGCAGAACTTCCCGACGTTGCTTGAAGCGCCTCCACCATAGACTTTGCATGTAAACCTGCTGCTCCTGACGCTGAAATCGCGTTTGGTGTGAACGCACCATAAGGATGCAGACTGTAGAGAATCTGATGTTTCTTTACATTATTTTGAGTCACTATCAATGAAGACGAGTCAGTGTTCAAATAATATAAGTTCAGTAAACGAACATAAGAGAGCTCTCTTTCTTAAAGAGTTCCCCTTTGATGTCACTTCCTGTTTCACTTTGGCTGAGCCAAGTTCAAAATAAAATATGCCAATTTTGTGACCAAATTGGTAAAAATCATGTTTTATGCAAGGTTTCTTATAAAAATGTGTTTTCTTTTGACTTTTTGTATTCGACAGATAGGTATGTCACAGGCACTTTAAAGTGTATTCAAGTCATCTGTTGAAAATTCCTGTATTTTTTTCATATCACAAAGTTAGAAAAAAATTGCGATGTTGGTTTTTTCCCCTATATCGTGCGGCCTTAAGGAGTACCCAGAGAAAACCCATGCATGCACGGAGAGAACATGCAACCAGAAAGGTCAATCTGACATCTACTAAAGTGGCAACAGCTCTACGAACCGAGCCTTCCCCTCAGGAACGTGAGATGGATAAAAGTTTGTTTCATTGATCTGTGAGTATTGTGAGGAATTTAAAAAACTTGCATCATTTTAAACCAATTTAAATTTGGAGAAATTTTATCTGAAGTCCTAAAAAAACCTTTAGCATTGTTTTGTTTCACCATGATCTTGTCTGACCTCTGGCGATTTGATCTTGTTCAGTGTTGTATAAAGTACCACAAAGTGATACTTGAGTAAAAGTACAAGTATCGTACGATAAATTTACTTTGGTAAAAGTTAAAGTCTCCTCTAAGAATATTACTTGAGTAAAAGTCTTGAAGTATCTAATATATTTGGTACTTAAGTACCAAAAGAAAATTTTTGACATAGAATGTACTTAAGTATTAAAAGTAAAAGTATTGAGTCAAAATGAGTTGCTAGACTTCCCAAAATGATATTTATTGGGGGTTGATACCCTCAAAAAACATTTTTCTAAATGCCAAAATGGCTATATTATCAAAATGTTAATGTTAAAAAAAATTAGGATGCACTACACCTGTTATACAGTATATTAGGGGTGCAACAATACATGTACCCGTATCGAACCGTATCGAACAATACAGATTTTAAAATTTACTTTATCAACTTGTCTTCTGAAGATGCTCTGTGTTGAAGGATCAGTGGATCTGTGTTCGACTACTCCACCTAGGCTGTATTTTTGAGCGCAGGTCCACTGAGAAACTTGCTGTTTCAGCAACATTTAATTTAAAAAACTGTACTTTTTAGGTTAAACAAATGTTCATAGTTAATTTAAATAAATTACAAGTTAAAAGGGCATAGAAATTTCTCTTTTTTGTATCGAAGAAATATCGAACCGTGAGACTAAAGTATCGAACCGAACCGTGAATTTTCTGTATCGTTGCAACACTAATACATACATATACCGGTACACACACACACATACATACTTCTCATCCAACCACAATTAAATTCATTCTATCCAGGAGGATAATATTTTTAACAACAAGCTGTAATGATATAGGACTAAAGACTTTATACTTCTTACCTTTTTAAAAAATGTAACGAGTAGAAAGTACAGATAACTGTGTAAAAATGTAAGAAGTAGAAGTAAAAAGTAGGCTGAAAAATAAGTACTCAAGTAAAGTACAAATACCCAATATTCTACTTAAGTACAGTAAAGAAGTATTCGTACTTAGTTACTTACATCTCTGAATATCTACAATAGTTTTTTTCAATATTTATAAACACATTTGAAAAACTGAAAGTTTAAACATCTTGAAAAGTAAGGCTTTTTTTGTTGAATTTTAGCAGATTCAAGAAAATTGAAAGGGTTACAATTAGGACTGCACAGTATATAAAATATGTTTTGGCATTGCAATATAATAACCTGTGCAATAAGCATATCACAAAAAACTTCATAAAGTGCAATGGTTGGCTTAAATGTGCGCATGTATGAGTTTTGTCAATCAAATCGAATTTTGAAGTATTTGACCAATCAAATGGAGCCCATCATGTTTGGCC